CACAGCTTCACTTTCAGTTTACCTCATCGGCTCCATTGACTTCTGGCGACCCTTACCAGCTCTCAGTTTCACTTGGTGACCCTCACCAACGTCTGTGCCTTCTGGTGACCCTCACCGACCCCTTTATTTACTGGTGACTCTCACCATCCCTCAGTCTCTCACTGGCTGTGGAGACTTGCATTGAACATCACCAGCCCCAGAGGGTTGTTCACCATCTTCCACTTTGCGCCTGCCATTGCGGGAGCCAAATTTTTGCCAAAAATGCAAAAATCGTCTTCTCAGACGCTCAAGTCGCCCAATTTTTGGTGGCTTTGAGCTTTAAAAAAAAAACACATCACAAGCATGAATATGGATGATTAGCATTCCACAATACATCAATATAAACATATGTGTGTACATTTATTGGGGTATATGAGGTATGTGAGCAGTATCAGTCTGTAGTGTGTGTTTGTGTTCAGAATCTGTACCTGGTCTCTGTGAGAAGCACCTGCTGGACACACTTTTCAGGAGTGAAGTCCCCTCCCGCCTCAGACACACTGTCTCCCTCCTCAAACACACAAAGTAAACCAAACCAAAATAATGATCTATCATCGTTTTCATCAGTTGAACACCATTCTGATTCAATTCAAAAACCTGTCACACACACACAGATGGTTTTATTTGAAACAAACACAAGTATAAACTTACTGCCATGTTGGTGGCAGATGCTTGAGGGTACATATTGGGCAGTAGATGCCTGAGGTTGTCCAGCATGTACTCTGTGAAGCTGATACACATCTCCTCTTCCTCAAGCTTTGTGGGGCCTTGAGGAACACTACACACACACACACACACACACACACATAACAAAAACATGTTACATTAATAAAAGTACCAGACACCCATCTATCTATTATGACTGACAGCTCCATTTCACACAGACTTTAAGTTTTGTCATAATGCACAGACACCATCAGATGAATACAGATATACAAACACTTACTGAAAGAGGATCGGCCCAAATTCTATCGACAGGTTGGTGGTGGTCATGCGGTTGGCATGACTCTCGGCAGCCACTCGGGACAGGAAGAACGTTAGAAAGCAGAGGATGTTGTAATTTTCCTCTGGAATGGTATCCAGTATTTTCTTCACTGCCTTGTGACGTTTGCTAAGTCTGAACACTGCAAGATAAAATATTTCCAGAGTTAAACAATTTGATAAAACTATTTTGATAGCTCCCAAAACCTTCACTTACTCCTGAACACTTCCAGCAGTTCAATCCTGAATGGCTCTGGAATGAGACCACCTGGAAGAGTCCTGAGGAAATGTTTCAAGACGTAGGCTGAGGAATGAACATCCTCAATGCTCATCTTTGGAAAGCCTCCGCGATCAAAACATTTCCTCAGTTCATACTGGCGCAATACTGTACCACCAACCCTAAACAGGCCTTTGGTACTGAGGCCTGAACACATATTTCACAAATACAGTCTCAGCATTAGTGACAAGCACTTGGAAACACCGTCAAATGCCAAGCCAGCACTCACCATGCTTCTCGAGGAAGCCCACCAGGTGTGTGAAGGCCAGAGGAAGCCCCTGTCTCATCTGTCCGGTCTTCCTCAGATGTGACAAGGAAACACCAAACACCTTGCTCGGTGCTTCCTCCTGCACAAGAAAGAGGGTTAAGAATGAGAAATGAGAAAGTGAGTGCACATACAGCTGTCTAATGAATGTGAATTATTAGCAACTATGAGTGTACATTTAAACACTAAGTAAATTATTTTTCTCCACTCACACATTCATTCCTTACTAACAGCAAGCATTTGTGAACTACTAGTAGGCCTAATAGTATGTGTGAATGTTTATACTTACACACACGGATAAAACTCCCATTATGGGGGTTTTGCCGAGCAACCAAATCCAAGGGGTGTTCAAAGCCGTCAGTCGAAGTCAGAAGAAAAGGGTCGTTACCGGGGAATCCAAAACCGTATCCGAGTGTCAAAATGAAATCGCAAATCCAAAGCCGTAGTCGAAGTCCGAAAAAAGTGTCAAAAACCGTGAATCAATAACCGTAAATCAATCGAGAAATCGCAAATCGCACAAAACCACTAACCACAACCAACGCCAGAACACCCAACAAAGAATTCTAATAAAGTACGTGCATATAACCCTGCCGCAGCTCTCACGTCATTAGAACGCGTTCTATTTAGAATCCGAAGATTAGCTTAGTTTTCTAAGATGTCCACCTTTAAATCATTAATATGTGTACATATCAACATTAATAAATTGCACATACATGTCTCATAAGCTGAAGCGCGTTTTACAACGACGAAACGCGCTTCAACTTAAGATCCGTTACATGTAACGTTAGATTGTTCAGCCTTGCAAACAGTATGTGCTTTGTATTAAACCCGGTATGCAAGGCTAAACAAATTATACAACTAAACAGAATATACTAATTTAATATATATTTTTTGCAGTAATACTTTGTATGTAACAACATAATAATTAAATAAAATAATATTAACACCATGTTATTACCCGTTTAAACACACGTTTAGCACACTTAGACGTAAATGTAATTTAGTGTATTATAAATGAGTGTATTTTAGAACAATATATTTGGAAAATTACTATAGCCTTTTTTAACTTTATTTAAAAAGCTAGACAGCTTAAACACGTTTGAATTCCCAAAGTCATAAAAATGAACATACTTTTGTAACAACTCATATTTAAAGTTGTAATACATTTAAGTTAAGTTATATTTAAAGGTTAAGCCAATCCATTAACCTATTTACAGAAAGTGAAATACGTTATGACAGAAATGGTTCTGCCAAACCTTTTTGACTGTCAATTTTTGTGGACAGTATCCTTAGGTGAACATTAGTTTTGTCTTTAATTATTATTTTATACCCATACAATGTTTTAAATGTTAGAACTGTCAAGGCCAAGTTAACGTTAACATGGTCGCGTTAGCCTTCTTAGCCAACGGCATTTATTAGCTAGCTTAAAGCACACATTGAACATTACCGATAGATAGAGTGATCCACCAGATCCTGTAGGTCGATAATTGTGCGTGAAGAAATTATGTTGTTGAATAATTGAATTGTTACAGTTATGAAATAGTTTGATAACAAGCAGGAAATGTTCATGGGCTAATGATACGATGAGCACATTGAAATGGTCTAAAGCAGGTATGGGCAAACTTGATCGTCGAGTGCCGGTGTCCCTGCAGAGTTTTGTTCCAACACTAGTCAAACACACCTGAACAAACTAATCAGTGTCTTCAAGATCACTAGAAATCTATAAGCAGGTGTGTTTGATTAGAGTTGGAGCTAAACTGTGCAGGACACCGGCCCTCCAGGACCGAGTTTTCCCACCCCTGGTCTAAAGCAATAATCTTGAAGGAGTGGGCCATGTCAGATATAGAGAAAACGTGTTTGGTTTTAAGATTGAAAGATGAAAAACTGAAGTATGCGGTGATGTCAAAAAATGTTGATTTAGGTAGAAGCGACAAGCTGCAAACATGGAAGGTTATATCTTCTTAATGCAAAATTTTGTCATTGCTGCGGAGCACACTATCTAGAAGTCCTTAAAACGAACATATTGGCCTCTAAGGGACAGTTATCAGACCTTATCAGACACATTTGGCATAGAAAAAAAAGCAGGATTTTTACAGATACTTGCAAGTTAGAAATTACTCTAAAAAAATTGTAAAAAAAATTAAGGATTACAATTTGATCACAATATTTCCGGATAAAAGAAGAAGAAGAAAAAAAGGTCTCTAAATTATATAAATGCATACAAAACAGTAAGACCCATTCATCAAATTACATAAAACAAAAATGGGAGAAAGAGTCAAACCAATAAATAACAGAGGAAAACTGGATATGGCAAGCCGTTTTGACTTTTATTCATTCTCAGGATATATTTGATATCACAATTTAATTCTTGATAGCAACAATTCAGTTCTTGATATCAAATAAGGTAATTGTTGAACTCAATATTACATTTCAACTAGTAACGTTAATTCTTGATATCAGCAATGATGCCACCATTAGCAGAAATACAATCAAGAATTTTTATCTTGTTATCAATAAAAGACAAAACGGCTATTCTGGCATGCCGTTTTTACTTTTATTGCTCAACCGGACATGAATTGTTTATACCAAGAAATAAATTGTTGATATCAGGAATCCAAATTCTTGATATCAACAACTTCATTGGTAATATTCAGAATGTGACATGTTGATATCAGGAATTGCATCTCCACTAATAACAATGTTAATCCTTGATATCAACAATTCAGGTTCACTAGTTAAAATGTTCATTCAATTTCCACTAGTAAGAATTATAGTTCTTGATGTCTGATTGTATTTTCACTAGTTAAATGTCACCACAGACTGCCATTCAAATTGAATTGTTGATAACAAGAATTGATTTCTAAAACCTTAATTTTACATAAAAGAAATACAATTCTTACTAAAAGCATTTATTTTTTATATCAGTGGTCATGTGGATAATAGTGCAAATGTCTATTCTTGGTATCAATTGAATTGTTACTAAAAATTGTAATATTTGATATCAAGAATTGGTATGTTATTAGTGACCATGTTAATTTCTGATATCATGAATGTGATTGTTAATAAAAAAGACATTTTAGATATCATAATTTATATTCATTTCAGAAATCTATTTTCAGATTTCAGAAATAACAAATGAACATGTTGAATGAACATTTAACTGATATCAAGAATTTACATTTTAACTAGTATCAAATTAAATCTTGATATCCAGAATTGACATTTTTAATAGTAACAAATTCACTATTGATATCAAAGAAGGCAGCTTATATCTAAAATTTAGCTTTGCAACTAGTAAAAATATAATTACTGATATCTTCAATGATATTTTAGCTAGTAAAAATACTCTTGCAGATATCTAGAAATATCACTTTTACATGATTCAAAACAAAATGATGCACACCGCACAAAAACCAGCATCTCATTGAACGCACGAGAGTCTAGAGTTCCATCAATGTTTAATTATAACATATCTTAAGGACCGTTTCAGTTAGTCAATATCATACAGTAAGCAATGTTTGTACGCTGACACTCATTTCATATTTACAGCTATAGTTTAAGGGCTTCACTGACACGTTACACAGTTTGGGATCAGTGAGTTATACACACCGTGGAAAGCAGTACGTTCTACATCCAAACATGATAAATCCAGATGCAAGGAAGGTCAATGACAGACACTGATATGGAAGGTCGGGTTATTCAAATAATACCTAAAGCATACACGGCGTCAAATCAAAACAGATGAGTGGGGGGAAAAATGATGCATTCATCAAACAATCCTATTGAGCCCATTAGTCCATATAAAAAAATGGTAAACTGATTTTTAAAAAGGTGCAATTATGAAATTAAAAGTGAAATATGAGGCTTATTTTTAACCTAATATGCATGACTTTGCATCTCATAACTTTTGGCATAATAATGATTCACCAAAGATTGATATTTTTACCGTGAGTAATAGAAATGAGCTTCCAATAATTCTAAATCTCCAAAGTTTTATTGTTAAAAAATGCTAAGGTTTCAATATAAAAGCCAAGCTTTAAGTAAAGCGAATCGTTCTATTTAAAAAGTGATCAAGCGTGAATGCTTTAATGGAATTCAACTTAAGTTATACGTTAGTTATGTGCACCAAATGAAATTCATTCAGCATGGCCTGCTGCGAGTCTGTTAAGCCCACGCCCACCCTCCACAAAAAAAGAAATGGTGAATTTCTAGAACACCTTTTCTAAGACCCGATGTTGCTCAAAAGCATTTCAACCATTTTGCAACAAGACTTCACATTCATAGCCGGGTTAGTCAACTACTGTACATTCACAAAATGCAAGCGCGAGAGTCATTGAATGCGTGAGTTTGTGTGTGTTCCCAGTTATGAGACTTCAGCTTTGGGGTCTAACCTCTAATGCAAAGGATTTATGTATTTTGGTTAAAGATACCTACAGTTTAGCAGAGCATATCATAATCATACTGATCTAAAACATGTCCACGTGGTTACGCTACCCGTTACATCCATATATATATTGCAAAATGCAGACAAACCGATAACGATACTCAAATATAAAAATATATTTTCTCTCCATCCTTAAGCGTTTTGCGAAGTCCATTCTGCGGGTTGAGCTATAATGTGAGAACCGATCTTCACCAAAACAGCCACAGAAGCACGGACCTGAGAGAATTACTTTAGAAACGACAATAAAATTAAGACAGACAGGAAGAGAGAGAGAGAGATAAAGGGGAACTGGGAGAAATGGGGCAAATGTGCGTCACTAGAAGAGAGACTGAGAAGGAAGGTGTTAAACTTATCTGCATAGTGTAGTAATCATCTGTCTAATGTGGCCAGAGTCATGCAACGATATTAGAAAAAACCATTGAATAAAATGCTAAATAATATCGGCAAACGAGACGAATATCAACAGAATGCATTAGTGAGAAGAGTGTACTATACAAGTGTGTGTGTGTTTTGTATAGAGATGACTTCATTTCCACTGCAGTGCTTCCTAGTCTGTGCAGTCTGACAGGGGCGTCCTATGATGATGATGTCGCCGCCGGGGAGAGTTTGTGATTGGCCGCGGGCGAACAGGGTGTGGTCAGAGCGTGGTCACATTGGTTCCCATTTGTCACATGAGAGGCTTTTACAAACACATCTGGACTGATAGTTCTGAGGTGGGAGGGAGGGGGTTCGCTTCTTTGAAAGACTCAAAGTATATATCGTTCGTATTGGCTGTAGGACGTGCTCATCATCTGGATGTGGGCTGTGATTGGGAGGAAGCGTCTCCGGCGGAGTTACTCCACTGGCCTGAACCCATTCCTGCTAAAACAGCTACAGCCTCAGCTGCGCGTACACTCAGACCGTTCACGGACACTGGAGCCGGCACGGTCACGGGCATCACCAATGCAGACACTGAACTCTCATCCACTCCTGCAGCTAAAGGAAGAGAAGTGGTGGGATGTTATGCATGACAGATTTAGGCCACTGACAGATACTATGAGGATAATTAATGATGGTGATGAATGGTTTACCAAGATATGCTTTTTTCTGCATGGCTGTAACAGGACAGTCCTTATGGGCCAACAGCAGCTCCTTCAGACGTGTCACCTCAGTCCTCAACAGCGAAACTTCACCCTGTCAAGCAAACGTTCAACACGCTGTCAAGAAAACCTCATTAATGTACAATAACAGACGATTCTGGGGATGTAAAATCTGCTTAACATGCACAGATAACGAGACAATAGGAAAAGCTTGGCTTAACCAAACGCATGACAAGAAATAAAAGGATAAATTGCAAGTTTGGGGTCAGTAAAGTATTTGTGGTCGTTTTTTTGTGGTCAAAAGCTGGTATTTTGTCGTTTATTTAGAATTTAGTTATGGAAAAACTGAAGTTTTAGCATTGTAATATAATTTTAAATACATAATTTTTAGTGACGTGATGCTTCAGAAATCACTTTTTATATGAATATGCTGCTTACTAATTGTGTGTGTGTTTAAATATATATATACACAGACAAGTAGTGTAACAATGTGTGTGTTTAATGTTAAAAAGTCAATTAGAACAGTCATTTGCTGTGATATTTCACAACTAAAGGCTGGCTCATACTACAGTGGTGTGATTGATCTAAATCCAATCGCAATCACGATTTGAAACGTTGCAGTTAGCCAATCGCAAGAGGCTGCGAAAATATTTTTGTAATATTTAATTTCCCCTGCCCAGAGCAAATGCGTGACTGCCGTCTGTGTGTGATAGTCTTACTAGCCAATTGAGTAAGCACAACTAAGTGATGGGTGTCTTGCTAAAAAGTCAGCTGAAAGTATTGCCAGTGACACTCATTCTAGTAGCAAGCAACAGCAAAGTACAATTTCAGAGTTATTTCAGCCATGTTAGTTTGCTGAGTGTTCTGTATTTTTATAATTATTATTATTGTTTTTTTTTTATGAGTTACACTATCTCCCTAATTTGAGTTCAACTTATTTACTGAAAAGGTAAGGTCATTTTATTTGTGTTTACTGTTTGCTCTAGGCAACGCAGTGGCGCAGTAGGTAGTGCTGTCGCCCCACAGCCAGAAGGTCACTGGTTTGAGCCTCATCTCGGTCAGTTGGCTATCTGTGTGGAGTTTGCATGTTCTCCCTGCATTTGCGTGGCTTTCCTCCGGGTGCTCCGGTTTCCCCCACAGTCCAAAGACATGCGGTACAGGTGGATTGGGTAGCCCAAATTGTCCATAGTGTATGAGTATAAATGATTGTGTATGGATGTTTCCCAGAGATGGGTTGCAGCTGGAAGGGCATCCGCTGCGGAAAACATGTGCTGGAAAAGTTGGTGTTTTACTCTGCTGTGGCGACCCCGGATTAATAAAGGGACTAAGCAAATGAATGAATGAACAAATGAATGTTTGCTCTCTAGAAAAATGAGGTTTTTATTTCTGAATATTTAAAAATTTATTTGAATAAGTTCATATCTTTTCAGTTCCTTTTTTAACTAACACTCACTGCATTTTAGTAGTAAGAAGCTACGATAGAGATTACTGAGCTGAAGCTTGACTACAAAATTAAATCGCAAATCAAATCGAAATTGCAATATCACAACTAAGATGACGTGCCAAACATGGAACAAAACGGAGGAAAAGAGGAATTTTGACATCATCTACCCATGACACTTTCACTATCACGCGTTCTGAAATGATTCCTCACAGCAAACATAAACAATCTGTAGTGGCAAGTTTGCACACAGCGTGCCTCAATAAAACCAGGAACAAATTTAAATTGTCACATGGATTGCATGATCAGATTCGGTGCTCCTATTGGTTCTTGGGTTGATGCTCATTGCAGCTGTTGTCTAACTGCAGGAAAGTGTCTGAAATCTTCTAAAACTACCAGAACTTCATCAGAGAGAAAATTTGATCGCAACAGGCATTAAGCGGCTGTTGGTGAACATGTCAAACAAACGATTAAAGATCACAGATTTTAGCCTGGAAGTTAATTTTTTAGGATTTCCCAAATTTCACTCAGATGACAAAACCGTTGCTGAAATCTCACAGTGCGAGCAGGGCTTAAAATTTCTCACCTGAAAAATTGATTTTATTAAAACTACTCTGGTTAAAATATTAGTTAAACAGTTTAATAAACCATTAAATCAGAGGTGCCCAAAGTTGGCCCATGGTAACCCATTGTTTGGTCCGCCATCTTATCTGAGAACTGAGGGAGAATGCTGGGGAGTTGGTTGGGGCGAATGCCTTTGACAGAGATAGTCATTTCAAATTTAAAGAAACAAAAGGTAACGTTGTTTAATTGAGGAACTACAAAAAGGCAACTAAAATGATATACTCTAAATACAATCAGTCTTTTAAAATGTAAATACTGCCACTTTACAGATAGAGGACAATGCACAATGCACATCAGTAAGCAAATCAAGGCAAAGGCAGGAGCAGCTCAACTAGTGTATTCAGCATTGATCAGCATTGTGTTATAAATAGTATCGTTTACGTTTTTACTGTAATTAATTATAAAACATTAAAAGTGATTGCATCATTATAATGTTTTAAAGCAACATTTTCTAGTTATTTTTAAATATTAGCAACAAATTAGGAAATTACACATGGCAAATTTATGATAATACTGTTTGTTATATTCAACTTCGGCCCACAGCCCTCAATCAAGTTTGGTTTTTGGCTTTTATAAAATATTTGGGCACATGCTAAAACATGCTATGCTTTTTATTACTTTGACCTATTGCCATTTTATGCAAAAAATAAACTGTAAATTACATTTTTGTATTTAAATGTATAAAAAATATGTGTGTAGGTGTGTATGTATTCTTTCGGATTAATTTAATGCATATATTCTAAATATTAATGTTAAAAGAATCTGAATTCAATGCTGAAAGTAAGTATGAAATAAAAGAGAAATAATACTGACCCCAAACTAATGAAAAACATCAGCATTAAAAAGAACAAAATCAGAAAAAATTATCTCATCACTCACAGTAAGTGAGACGTTAGCATTAGCCAGCTCCTCCGCACGCTTCTCCAGAGCACTGACCCACACTTTCCGCTTCTGCCGGCAACGAGAAGCAGCAGCTCTGTTTCGTTCAAGAAAGCGACGCCGGCGTTCATCCGGCTCAATATCAGCCCCGCGGCGTCTGCGTCCACCTTTTGGAGGAGCGGGAGATACCTGCAGGACAAAACCATGGCCTGTCAGATCCACTGAATGTGGGTTAAACAGAAAATAAGCTCAGCTGAAGCATTGCACGTATCCCATTTAAGCCCATTAAATGTAAGGATTATATGTAACACAGGTATGAGGTGTCTGTGAGCACCTGTGGTTGAGCAGGTGATGGTGTCTCAGTGTGATCAGTTTTTTGAATTGGTGCTGGTCCACTAGGACTCGGCTGAGATAGTGCTGCTTTTAGCCTCTAGATGGAGACAGATCCCATACACAAACACAAGCAAACACCACAGCGTGTAAATTAATGCTAAAAAAGCCCCGTGTGTTACATTAGTGTAGTTACTTAAAAGTTACATAATAAGCCCGTTTTCAGCATTTATACCTGAATAAACAGTGCATGTGCTAGTGTGGGTGTATGTGTGCTCATTCTCACCGTCTTGGCATCAGAGTGTGTACTGTATCCAGACGGAGAGGAGGAGCCGCTGCTGCTTCCGCCAATAGGAGGGCCTGGAATCCCTGGGATATTGGGCACTGTGTTTGATGATCTGGCAAGCTATATATATACACACACACATAGCAACACGAGTTTAATGTACTATAGACACAAATACAAAACAGATGTGTTGTTGTTTTGAGGGTCGTGCTGCTGAAAATGTTTTCACAGATACAGGAAGATAGTAAATGCCATTATTTTAAGAACAAAGCATGTCTGTGGGAGGTTTTCACAAGTAGGGATGTAGGGCATATTTTCAGATATAACTAGAGAGAGAGGGGGTAAACAACATTGCATATTTTAAATGATTGAGTCGCTAGGATTGTTCACATTAGATGTATTCTTGGATTTCAAAACAGCTGGACAGAGTGCAACAGACTTCATAAATGCTGGACTATTTTTAACTTGACATGCTGATGGTGTAAAAAGGTTAAACAAAAGCAAAAAAAAAAAAAAAGAAGGCAAAAGCACACATAACAGATATTCCACAAGTGGGTAAGCTAAACAGCTATGGCCTTTTACTGAAAATGATTAAACTACACTTATTATACAGTGTTTGTATACTTTACATATTTCACTCAAAACTCAATTCAGGAAATTTACTGAAGGCAGGAGATGGTCAAATAAAATGCATAGCTAGTAGTAAAGCACACTAACTTGTTTAACTAATGGATGAAGCAGCATTTTTAAAAAATCTTGTCAATAAACTATTCAATGGCCATGTTTCCATCCACCTATTTTTATGGGCATTTTGAATATATGCATAAAAATGGTTGATGGAAATGCCAAGATGCGCATACATTTTGAAAAATGTGCATAAAAGACGTATGTGCATAACGGAGTAGGATAAACTATTTATTCGATAAGAAAAGATGCGCACAATCTACGATGGAAACACTTTTACCAAACAAATTCCAGTATGTGCATTAAAGAAGTCATGTGATTTTGTTATAAGAGATCATGTGATATTAAAAATGTATGGCGTGTGAATGGACAAACCAGCAGGCTGAACACATTGTAAAACATCTGAAATGTTGTATTGGTCATACTAAAATGCCTAAACCACTTCAGTATTAGCGTTTTTATATCATTAATTACTTTCAGAATTATTAAGAGCAGAGGTCTCAAACTGACACCCCTCCTCCTCCCTCCAGCCCCCAACTGACGTCAAAAATATAACAAGATTCGGACAGACAAAACTGTTTTTTGAATCACTAATATTGTTGTTGACTTTTAAGGTACTGTACTATATATTTGGGTTACTTTCGTTTTTTCTCAGTATGCGGTCGAGTGTAACGCACATGCAGATTATTTCTGGGGCTGATTTAAGCGTAAAAATACATGTGCGTAAGTGCTCTTTTTTACTAAAGCTCTATTATTTTAAATATTCAAGGGTCATTTAATTATAATCAGTTTTATACCACTTGTATCTTGTTGTAAAAACACCTCTTCATGACTCACACATTATGCTGGTGGTGTAAATATTATAATTTTGCTAATTTTTGGTTCAAATGGTCTGATTAATAGATTTTCCCAATAAGGATGTTCAAACTGCCCTCCTATGAATTCTCAGTCACTGACATGGTCCCGCCAATTTGAGTTTAAGACCCCTGGTCAAGAGCATCGTGCTCCACATCTAATGCCTTCAAACGACACCACCCAATCATTACATGTCAGCATTGTTATCAGAGACGCAACTAATTTATTAAAAGAAAAAATATTTACGCAGCTTCAACCGCAGAAAATTCTGCTTTTACTTTGGATGTTTAGCGACAGCTGATCAGGAATTGACGACTTTGTTCTCTGACTCTTTGGATGGAAACGCTGCTTTATTTGCGTGTCTTTAATCCGATAATCCAGTTTTGCACATAAAATTAATTTGCATAATTGGAAAGATAGCTAATGACTCAATCATTAAAGCATGCTATTCAATTCATGAATCAGAACTTCTGAACAAATGCCTTGATAGCAATTCAATTACAATTAGACAGCATTAACTTGTTGCCACCTACTGGCATATCGATAAAACCACACAATTTGTAAAAATCAATTTACGTTTAAACAACAGCTCTCTCTGGGTCAAATGCAGGTCAGATTGTCTGCTTTGATCATACTCATCATAGGTTTCATAGACATAGGCTACATTTACATTTTTGTTTATATAGCTATGTTGATCTTTTAACAATTATTAGTGTCATTTTGAATCATGACCCAATAATAAGCACACGTGTGTGAGCTCTTCATACCGATATGACTGACGTCTGCCCCGGACTGGGCAGCAGAGGAACCGTCTGACCATTTGGAAGCTGCATCAGCATAGGAAAAGAACCAGACGGCGAGCTGAAAAGACAGCAATAAATATACTATTTTAGGACATTTTTACACACACACAGGGTGAGGAAGCAGAGGTGTGAACATCACTGAAATGACTCATGCGATTTAAAAAAAGTTTCAGCTCTGAGGAGTGAATATTTGGTTGGATCAACAGCTAAACTGCATACATATACACATATACAAACAATGACTTGAATTTCCCTCTGTTTGTACCTAAGTCTGTTTGATGGAGGGGTTCTGGTAATAACAGAGGTGGGAGAAGGCTGAGTTGGGTTCATGGAGTCAAATCCCTGGTGAAGTGGGAGCGAGCCTGGACGCACTATGGTTGGTGTAGGGGTGGAACTTGCTGCAGTTCGTGGAGGAACATCCTGCAAGAGCGAGTAACATGATAATGCTGCAATGCCAAAACTACTGTAATCCAACTTGTGGCATATTCAAATTTACCTTAGCTTTCCTCAAGGCAATAGCCTCTTTTGCCATGGCAACTGTATCTTTGCTGTTTGTCATGCTGGAGGCGGAGTCAGGGCTGTCTGGAGGGGAGGAGTCAATTTCAAGAGGCCCCTCCCTCTCTTTAACCTCAGTAGGTGTCTGTAGAGCTGGATGCTTGGAAGGCAAAATTCAGGTGTTAATTCAGGTAATTAATTCAGGTAACTAAATAAACAGTTGATAATCTTTAATAGGTCACAAGCTATGTTTCCAGCTACATATGTCTGCCCATTTTGGGATAACAATTTTGATGACAGATAAAATCTTAAAATGCAATAAAAAAAAATGAGCTCAGTGGATGTAGATATCTTCCTTATAAAATAAGATGACACACAAATCATTTGGAAACTAATTTTTTAAAATGAATTCCATGATGAGCATATCTCAGACTTTGCCATAACAGATCATGTGATTGGTCCACTGGTTAATCCAATTTTATTAAATACTATCTTATTAAACGTCCTCTTACATATTGTTTTAGTTATTCTGAAATACTTGGTACAAAGACTTTCATTTAAATGGTTTGGTAAATTTTCAACATTAAACTGTCTGACATCTTCAAGCGTCTGCCTCTGAAAGGAAGAAATGCAAACTGAAAACTATAAAGGTTTTAATGGCTGTATGAACTTCAATTTCTGTTATTCATAATGTGGGACAGTTTGCCAGATTTTAGGATTTTGTTTTTTTTCACACTGAAAGTCAAAATATTTCTGCAGCATTCCACGTGAATTCACAAATACGGATGGAAACATAGCTAGCTACACGTCCCTCATTAATATCTTACCGTGCCCTTAATTCTCCTCTCCTCCTCCTCATGTGTTTTTCGAAGATCTTGCTCAAAGGAACCAGCCAGCTCACTAAACAAACCCACCTCCTCACAATTTTTAAGAAATCGGGTGGGAGTGGGTGTTTGATCTGCGCACAAACACACACACAACATGACAAACAAGATGCACTAAATGCTAGGTCATTTACAGAAAAAAATACACAGCCAAATACAAGATTAGAATGATCAGCATTCACTTTAAATCTAAAGCATGTGACGTACAAAAATTCTCTGTACACACTTTTTATAGATTATTGGCTACTACAAGCATTTCATTCAGGGTTTAATCTGTTTCAAAAGTGTAAACATTGAGTCTGCCTGGCACCATTGAAGGGATCGTTCACCCAAAAAATGAAATCTTCCTCACCATTTACTCACACTTAAGTGGTTCTAAACAATTATGATCATCTTTCTTTCGCTGAACACAAAACAAGACATGAGGAAAAAAACTGCCTTTGACATAGAAATCGATGGCTTTGTTTTCCAACATTCACACTCTGGGCCCCATCATACACCCGACGCAATAAGGAGCTAGACATGTTTGGCGCAATTTGTTGCTATTTTCAGACCAGCGCAACCCTAATTTTCACGTTTTGCACCACTTTGTTTGGTAGCAAATCCATTTGCGCCACTCTGTGGACTCATGGGTGTTCTGGTCTAAAAAGGAGGTGTGCTAAGGGGCATTGTTGGCACTGTGCTCTTTTGAGGAGCTTAAATAGACTGTGCCATTGACCAACTAAAAGCTGATCTACAGTCCAGCACAGAGCGTTTTAGTCATGCGCAAATGCAGGTGCAAATGCTTACACAGTGCTTAATACACACAAGATAAACAGCAATACACAAATATCTTTACATATGTTTAGGATAAACAAATGAAAGGGATAAATGTTCCAAAAAATATTTTTCTACATAAATGTAAAATCCATCATGTCCATGTCAGGGGCCTTTTTTCAGTTGCTTCATGACAATTTGGATTTGTATAATGTTAGTATTATATGCATATTTATATTTCTTTCTAAAAAAAAAAACAAGTTTAGATTTGTCCACCTGTCAGGTATTTGAGACGTACGCGAGACATAAGAATAGGGCGTGTTTGGATATAACTCTTATTTTTTTCTTTTTTTTTTTTTAACCACACTTTATTTTCGAACTGAATTAGACCTGAATTTAGACAGTTTTGAAACAAATCTTTGCGTTTTAAAAAAAATTATATATGTAGGATAGCCGATGTCTTTAGTGAAGTAACACAATTTTCTTATCCACGAATGAAAAGGAGTAAAGAGTACAAGTAAAGAGAAAACAAAATGGCTGAATGGAGGAGATTCATTCTTTATCCTTGCGCTGCAGATGGTCTGTTAAAACTTGTAAAGCTTTCAGTTTTTCCACTTACAAAGTCTGCCGTGTAAATAACAAAAGTGCCACGCAACTATTAAAGGGAATGGGAGATTGGTTCTCCAATCAGACTCTGATTGGTTTAATGCACTATATGCTCAAAACACACCCACAACTCATTAAGAGGATAGGCACAACCCAGTTAGATAATGCGCTGTGGGGTGCACAGCAGAGCATATTTTTCCATCCCTAAAATAGCAAAAGGAGATTCGGACACATCATGCTTTAGACTTTATGCTTTAGACTTTGCGCCTAGATCGCTAAAATAGAGCCCTCTATGTTTCAACAAATGAAAGAAATTCAAACAGGTTTGCAACAAGTGGAGGAAGAGTCAATTAAAATTTGGGGTAAACTATCTATTTAAAACATTATTCAGACCACTGCAATCACTCACTTTTTAATCTTACATGGGAAGAGAAATCCAGATTTACTTTCAAAAAAAGTGAAAAAATAAATTCTAAGACAACAAAATCAAGAAAGATTCAATCAAGACAACAAGCAAGTTTCTTCTTGACAGGTTTAGCTGAACTAAATTGCCACAAAATATGCTTCACATTCGCAATTCTGCTGGGTGACACTAGTACAGCAGAAACTACATCAGCGTAAATGAAAACAGCAGATTATAACTTCCTCACACAATTATGATAAACACCATATTATCATGCCCTGGTGTGAATGTCAAAACGATTATCATCATAGATTTTATCTTAATGCAAATGGGCCATAACCCAGGCACTCTGAATAAAAAAAAACTCACATAAATGAATCTACATAGTGATACAAACCTGCAATGATAACGGTGTCTGTTCTGGCTTGTCCAAACTTCAGTGTCATCTCATGCTTATGTTTATGCACTGCCAGATGGTCCTCATTGGTGAACCTCTGATGTGAGAGAAACATTGACAGAGACGCATGCATTAACCCGCTGCAAAGTTTTCAGTCGATTTGCATCTCATTCCAGGTCCTAATTCAAATCAGATGGAAGCCAGAAAACAGAGAAGCAGCGGATGATATCTGGCCATCTGTTGTTTTGATGACGGCTTATGTTATCCAGTTATGATGTGCTATGGGAGCCTCTTACAGTTGCTTGGTGAAAGCAGGGATTAAAACAGCTGGTGTGACTTCAAAATAAAAGTGCTCTCCCTGTGACTAAGGGCCCTTCGATATTGCAGGCAGAATAGAAACAATCTTAAGCTCCCAAAATTCTTGATATGGACTAGAGGATGAGGACAACACCTCACATTGAAGAACAAAAGCAGCATTAAAATCAGAATGTAAGGAGAGACGCTGCAGGGAAAAACACTTTAAGCTTTTTTGTTTTTTCTCTAAATGTTTCTTCAGGTGAAAACACCCAAAATAAACTGGGAGGTGTTTCTTTTCTAGCTTTTATTTTCATTTGTGTTTGTAGAATTCAAATAGGGCTGCACAATATTGGACAAATCTAACATTGCGACATGTTTTATTTAGCGACATATATTGTGGTATGAATACAATTCCATCAGATGACTTGTGAGATGCAATGTAATGTGTATTTATATAACGCATTTATTGTGTATGGCCATACACCCAAAGCGCTTCACAATCATGAGGGCGGTCTCTCCATACCACCACCAGTGTGCAGCATTCACTTGGATGATGCAACAGCAGCCAAAGGACAACGGCACCAGTGCGCTCACCACACACCAGCTATAGATGGAGTGGAGAGACAGTGATAGAGCCAATTCGATGGCTGTATCCTGTAGGCAGGGCTATTCAATTAGTTTGTCATGGGTGCCGGTTCATGAAAAGCATCCCAAACGAAGGGCCGGAGAGATATGACTTGCTATGTGAGTGAAGACAAAACAGCATATAAGAGCCCATATGCTGTATAATTTTGCTCCTTTGGACACCCACGTTGGCTTTTTCTACATTAGAATGTTAATCTATTGTATTTTGAAACTACATAATACCAGTGCATTGTACAATTGACTTTTTTTTTTTTTAACAAACATTCATATGTTGTATTTCGGAGCACAACAAAAGCAGTGCATTGCTGAAGTAGGCTTCTTCTACATTCAGACACATTCATATGTTATGTTTTGAACTGCACAACAATTATAGATTTTGGTTGTACAATTATATTGTCTGACTCTGAAGAATAATCATGGTTTCACTGTTATCAAATATCTAATGTAAATTTAAGCTTTATATTAGGAGAACAGCTATTTAGATTAATTGTTGTTGCCATCTCCATTCATGCATGCATAATCATTTTATTAATAATTAGTCTAACATATCTTTTGTTTACACTGAACAGAAAGGCACGCACAACTCTCACCGTGAGAGGTTCTCTACTGCGTGCGCCCTAAAAGACGCAAGCGCATCTCTCCGCTGGCGCCCGCATATTGTCATATATTCTTACATTAGAAATAACAAACTTGTAAGCGGAAAAGACGTGATATGGGAACGGCCGCTGCTATAATTAATCCGGTGCGTGCGAATTAACCTCAGTGTACTTCAAACTTCAAACTAGCGCACAGGCAACTTGGCATTTTGCAGCGGTTTCGTTTCGTTCCGTGCAACAGAAATGCAGCTTAGAGAAGACAAATTAAAGCGCAGTTAATAGTGAAATCGGCTAATCGTAGCATCCCTATTAACAATATCAGTGCATTTTACAAATAGTCTTTAATTTCTACAAACATGTTTTCGGCTGCCCGCACCAGTCTCTTATGATGATGATTTACACCTCTGTGCAGCCTTTAACTGCAGCTCTTGCTGTTATTGAACAGACACACGTCACTTCATAACTATAGCTGCCGTTTGTCGACTGAACTAAATTTATTTTTGATGCCTTGGTCACTGTTTGGAGGGCCGTAACAAAGTGCCTCGGGGCACCAATTGAATAGCCCTGCTGTAGGGCTGCACGGTTAATTGAAAGAAGATCACGATCTCGATTCGATCCTAAACACGATCTTAATTCAGCTTTTTCTACGATTCAGCCAATTATATTTTCAAGGTCAAGAGAGAAGCAAGGCAGTCGCACAAGTGTTCACAGCAACATTGACACCTTCAAATGGCATTAAAAGTGTCACATACTGTATTTAAAAGGTATAATTCACCCAAAAATGTCATTTCTGTCTTCATGTAATGGTGTATTCGTGACCGTGAAATCACACATGAGCTGACTGCAAGCTGTTTGTTTACTACCGAGAACGCACGCTTGCACCCATTGCACCTACTTTAATGAACACAACTTGCATAGGCTGTGAATGACAGGTAATGAAGTTGTAAATAACGTTCAGTTTGTTGCACAGAGTGATCGTTTGAGGGCCGTGTGGGAGCTTTAATTTGCATGTATGAGTTTTTTCTCAGTGACAGCAGCCATGAGCCACACTCGGAAGTGAAAGTGAAACCTGTGCGCACATCATTTAAATGACCATATCGCATTTTAGAGTTATGATTACGACAAGCATTTGATATAGTTTTTCTGTCATAGCTAACACAGTGTTGTGCATGAAAATAAATGTTTACTGCATCAGTATAACTACCCTAGCCTATATAATGTTGAATATAATGCAAGAAGGAATCTGATAATGACAAATGTCTTATTTTACCAGTGAAAACAAATGGTCTAATAATGTTGTGAATAACTGGTGATAGGGCTGTGCAATTAATCGAAAATCCGATTTCGATTTTGGCTTTTAACGATTACAAAAAACCATTAATCGAGATAAACGATTATTCCATCATGTACCGTCCCCTTTCCAGTTGTACAGGTGTGAAAACTCTGCCTCTGCAAAGCTCAGTTCCACGTGAAAATGACTAAAAGCATGTGCTGTAATGTAACTTTTGCAGCACGGGATGCTCATCATTCATAATTCATAAAAAGCGCAAAAGAGCATGTGCTGTCGTGTGTGTGCGCGTGCCTTGCTTAGCCTCTGACAGGTAGCATGTGTGTTTGTGCGCGCACCGCGCTTAGCCTCGGACAGCAGAACACACACATCTAACACGATCTTAATGTGAGCGATTTAATGGTCAAATACATGCACACTTGTGTCAGAGCACGGTGTTTAGTGATTATTCATATTAACCCTCATTTGTGTAATAAACAGACAAGTTGAGAATCAAAAGATACGTGAAAGAAAAACCATATCATAGCGGCACTATTCTTAAAGTGACAGCGTGCGGTATTCCTGCTGCTGCCGACTGTTTTTATCATTAATCAATAATAAAATCAAAAATACAGTGAAGTTGCTTAAAGCACAATTTAAACATAACAGATTTAATAACTCATTTCTAAAAACTGATTTCTTTTATCTTTGCTATGATGACAGTACATTATATTTTACTAGATGTTTTTCAAGATACTAGTATTCAGCTTAAAGTGACAATCAAAGGCTTAATTTTGGATAAATAGACAAGTCATTGTATAACAGTAGTTTCTAATAATATAGGGGCTAATAATATCGAGCTATTAAAATGGGTTTCAAAATATTCAAACCTGCTTTTATTCTAGCTGAAATAAAACAAATAAGCCTTTCTCCAGAAGAAAAAAATATTATAGGAAATACTGTAAAAAAAAAACCTCTGTTAAACATCATTTGGGAAATATTAATAAATCAACGAAGGGCGAAAAATTTTGACTAACTGATAATCGTTTTGAATAATCGTGATTACAATTATGACCAAAATAATCGTAATTATGATTTTTCCCATAATTGAGCAGCCCTAACAGGTGACAAGCACACGTCTTGAACATAATCATTCAATTTTATAATTATGAATAGTTATATTCTGATGTTATAATTTTACTGTGAATTAACAAACAGGACATATTGAAAGTCTGTTCAAGTCCACCATAATGACTATACAAAATTTAGCATTTAACAATAATAATATGGCTTATTAAATTAACCTTTATTTTAAATTAACAGGATCGTGAAAATCGTGACCTTGATTTCAAGCTAAAAAAATCGTGATTCACATTTTTGCCAGAATCATGCAGCCCTAGTATCCGGTCACATTTGCAGTGCAAAAACAGTGCAAAATTAAACGCGTGAACTGTGTGTTCGTAAACTTTGTAACGACATTGTGTGTGACTCGTCGAAAGGCTTGAATTAACTCTTGAATTAACAACAAATACATCAGATAATCATTGGTAAATTTCTCACTGTGGTATTCATCACAAACTTGACATGAGATCTGCTTCCTTCATGTCTGTCACTCTGCTGTTTATCTGATGCAGCAGGAGATTGAGGGCACATGGGAGGCACTCTGACAGGCACATGGGAACGGTGGGCGGGGAGAACTAGCATTAAAGGCACAGGCAACAAAAACAGCTACATTGTGTTCAGAGCAGAAAATTCCAATGTTCTGAGATGTATAGTAAATAATCTGAAACTTTACAGACACATTCTGGAGACACAAAAGATTTATCTTAAATCTTAGGTGCTCTTTACTATCTCTATTTGGAAATGATTTATAATGTTAGATCAACTGGGATGATTCTGCAGTGGGAATGCATCTCTATAAAATCTAATGAACTCTATAAAATTTTTATGGGTCCCCGACACATTTTCATTGTGGTCTGTGCTATTGGCGGTTTATTTCTGTATGTGCATGTATTCGATCAAGAAAAAGATACAAGTGTTTTATAATTACCAGAGTCTAACAGTATTTAGTTACAGTAACTGAATGATACAAATAATTCAATAAAATGAATCGTAGTTAAAAATTGTACAATTTCTTAAACCTGAATGTTTTTAAGTTATTTTACAAAAAAAAAGCCATCAAAAACATGTGCAAATGAGAAATTCAAATACAAACTCAACATTGCATATCCTGCGATGTGACTAACGTTGCGACATCGATGCTGAAACAATATATTGTGCAGCCCTAATTTCAATTATGATGCATCTTTTTGGGGCCAAAAGAAGATAAATATCCATCAGACCCGCACTATGCCATAAATCATAGAGGTAAAGTTGGGTTTATATTTACAAATTCGGACTTTCTTCTAAATAATATAATTTTAGAAAAGGATTCTTTGCAAATTCTACATAGTAAAATTATATTAGCAGCCATCAACTATCAAAATACAACATTGTTCACAGTCAAATAAATAGTGCTAATGTTGTTTAGTAAGTCATACTCGCATGCAATTTCAGACGGAATATTCGAAGTACTGTGATAAAGAATAAGGGGAGCATGTCTAAAGTTGTCATTGAACAAATGTGCGAATATAAAACCAACTTTACCTCAATCCACATCAACAGCACTTGCACAAACAGAAACATTACAGTTTTATATCTAAATTCTGAGAACATTTACAAAGGGATATGTTCATAAATAATTAGGCTGATTGTAAACAAAACAATGCCTGATTTTCATATTTAAGTTAACATTTTATTTGAGAAAACTTACAATACAATTTTTAGAGTAAAGTTAATCACTCAAACTGTGGAAGTATACTGATGACTGTTAGGCTACTTAAATCTTTACCCTATTCACCTGCAGTGTCTTGCCTTAACAGTAAGGATAAAATAAACAGCTCTTACCTGTCCACAACCTGGGGCAGTGCAGACAAAAGGTCGATCGTCTCCCATTTTAGATCAACTACTTCCTGTGTCACTTCTAAACACCATTCAGAGAGAACAGTTATGATTTTTCATTACTAGGATCAGTAAAACCCCATTTACGGCTCAGTTTTTACAATCTGAACGTCATTTAAAACAAGAATCCCCTCCCAAACTTTGCATTTGTAATGTTGTGGAGTCTTTTGACAGATGACAGGAATCCCTGCTGCACCGAGGCCTGCTGGGTTCATCTGATTGCATAATGTGCATGACGATTACACGATAAGACGCTTCATTTGACTATTGTCGGAGATCGTCCCTGTTTAAAGAACATTTCCGCTCAATTTAACAGCTTCAAACCAACAGCTACATCATACTAACACCTACCGCTAGCTAGCATGCGTTTCCTTTCTAATTATATCCAGAAAGATCTCTGCAAACAAATCACTCCCCTCTTAACTGTATTAAAGCAACTGGAATCATTTTAACTAAGCGATAAGACGTCGGAGATTTGTCGTAAGTCCTTTCTCGCCGTGGGTTTCGTTTAAATGCTTCTTAGCGATGTCCGATTCGTGGACGAATTGTTCTTGGGAGTCGAATCTTTTCAAAACATTGGTGGAATCGGTTCATACAAACAGTTCAAATGAATCGAACTGATTCAGTGAGCATCTGAAGTGATTGTGAAAATTAAAGGGATAGTTCATCTAAAAAAATGAAAATGTACCCTATTTATTCGCCCTTAAGGTAAAAAAAACCTGAAGATAATTTTTTCTGTTTAGGAGAATAAAGAATATATTGTTAAAGTGTTAGAAACCTATAACCATTGACTTCCATAAAAGGAAAATATTGTTTTTGTTCAACACAAAACAGAAACTCAAATAAGAAACTTGTTAAAAGCGAAATCTGAGTAAATTATGGCAGAAATAGCAGCTTTGTGTGAACTATTGATTTAGAAGCTTTAACAAAAAAAACTATTTCAATAAAATATACCATATTTAAAACATTTGAAAATATTCATATTACAATATTTTTGTTATTAAACATTAAAATGTAATAAATCTGACAAGATTAGAAACTACGAGATGACGTGACAGCGTACACAACAGCTAAATCATTTGAATCGATTCTTTAATACACTGGTTCAAAGGAACCGATTCGCAAAAACAGTTCGGACTTTCCATCACTAAAGCTAACAGGCTAATGCTAAGCACACATGAGCCAACAGGCTGTAACACCCAATTTACATCGAAAGCGAGTGACATTACTGGGCAAAATAAGAACACTTCCATTATACCAAACGGTGCTACAAAGCGAGCGCGCGCAGATGTCGTTGATTGTAATGCAATTGTGTTTGTGTCGCGTCTCGTGCAGTGAACAGAACACACGGCGCTCATGACACCTCCACCATTCTCGCGGCCAGTGAAGCCACATGCCAAACCACTAATTGCACAGCATCAGATAATCCTAACGTGTTGCGTGTCACCTGTTTCTCGGCCAAGGGTTTCAGTGTTTACAAACTTACCCTGCTCCTCCCTCTCTCGTTCCCTCTCTCCGCGTTCCCACCTTTGGAACTCCTTCATCCAGCAAGCTCTCAAAAAATGTAAATCTCGCGATATGTTGAGGTAATACTCAAACCAGATTAAAGTAGTTACGTAACAGATTTGGAGCAGTGATGAGAAATCCGCTGCTCTGTTTTTTTTACACACCAAAACACGCCCAGTGATAGAAAAGGTTTAAATGTTAGAGAAATGCTCTTAATAATAACGTGTAACTGGCAAAATCCAAGCTAATAGATTTTACAGATACAAGAGCAAAGACGATTCTAGTGCACAAACTACACATTCTACAAGATGTAATGCCTAAAATTTAAACTTAATTTTGTTAAATATTCTCTTCGTTAGAACACTTTGTATATAAATGTACATTTAAAAGTTGTAGTTTGAGCCATATTTTACAATATAAGGCAAGTCTACCTACTGTTTAAAGCACATTTCATAAACAATGGTAATTTAAAGTGCTTTACATAAACAGAAATAAAATAAACTAGAAAAAGACTTTAAAATGTAAAACAAATTAAAATGTTTAAACAGATGATGAAACAACGAAAAAGAAAAAGACATAATAATGTGATCTGTGAGATGTAGCAGAGCACTAAAGGCACAGCTAAACAGAAGTGTTTTCAGTCCGGATTTGAATGTGCCTAATTTTGGAGCACAACTGATCATTTCTGAAAGTGGATTCCAGTAGGGAGGAGCGCAGTAGCTGAAAGCCGATTCACCCTGCTTTGAATTTTTTCTACAGGGTGTTTTAATTTCTAAACAAAAGTTATCATCTAAAGCTAAAATGAATTAGACAAAAAATAACCAGTTAATTAACTAACTTTAACCAAAAAGACAAATATTTAAAAAAAAATTCAGTTTATTCATCAACTAGAAGCCCTTAAACATTTCACATAATAATAAATACAAGCACACAGGTTAAAGTCATTTTATCATTTATTTTTTTCTTCCATTTCTCCTTAGCATTTTTCATTGAACATCTAATAATATCATTCAAAACATTTCACTCAGCAGTTGCTATGTCAATTCTGTTCCGAAACAGAACCTAAACCCCTATAGAATTAAAAGAAAAGGCAAAAACTTGTCTTTTTTCTGTTTTTTTGTTTTTGGGCTAAAAGACTTGCTACTCGTAACTGCACCATTTCATGTCTAAAAAGCTTACAGCCTACATAGGATATAAGATTAGCAACAAAATGCAACACATTTCATTTCACCAACCAGTTATGAATCAAATCCATTAATTCAGATAAAAGAATTACAAAAATAAAACCAGGTCCACTGATTTTTAATCATTTGTGTGGCGCAGTTTCTACATAGTTTGCGCCCATGAATAATATAGCCAAATATAGAAAATAAGTCTGAAAAAATCTCAAACTAATAAAGCAAACAAACGTTAGGGCAAGAAAGACACTACTGAGAGTTAAACAAGACAACTTGAAATAAATTAAAACTGATGCATGAAAGTTCCCTCCAATGCCTTCGTTTTTCCTACAACAGCCAAATAAAAAGGGGATTTTGAAAAAAAAAAATATATATATTCATTAGGACACCTTCATAAGGTCACACACACAAACTCAAAACGCGTACATTGTTCAACATCTAAATGAAAACCACTCATTCATTAAACAGTGGCCCTGCCCATGGCAGAACGATGAGAGGAGCTACTGCATTTACACAGCACTTCCTGAGATTGTCTCTCAGCTGATTTGACTTTGGTCTGGATTTGTGCACAGCCCATCCATAAATGTGAATGAGACTAAGACCCTATTTTCACCTGGTATTAAGAGGCTTTGGTTTATCAAAGACATGTAGACATTTGCTCTAACACTAGTAGTTTTAATCAATCACTGTCTGCTTCAGATGACTTTTCTAACGTCTTTGAGTAAGGTTTCTCTGGGGAAAAACATTCATAGGCTTCTTCTGATCTAAAAAATTCAGAAAGAAGCTCTTGCAATTTTCAAAAAAAAAAAAAAAAAAAAAAAAAAAAAAAAAGTCATTCCCCTTCCATTTACACTTGTCCGCTTGTAATTGGATCAACAAAAACACCTTAGAAGGAATAGTTCACCCAAATTAGGAAACAACCCTATAACTTACTTGTATTAATCCTCCAATATTTTCAATTTTTACATTCTAATCTCAAATCTGACTTCCTGTGACTGCCAAATGCGCACAACACTTTCTCGGCAGACCTTGGTCTCCATTTACTTTTGTTCCAAAAACAATTCAATCTACTTCATAAGACATGCATTAATCACCTGATGCTTGTGTTTTAGTTTTACAACCCATTTATACAATTAAAACCTTTGGCAAAAGGCCACTACTCCTTAAACAGCACTGAAGAGCCAGAATATTAATTAAACTACTGTGTTGGTCTGACAGAACAGAAGTCTTATACACAGAGGATGATTCGATGGAGAGTAAACTAGTGTAATTTTCCCATTTATGGGTGAACCATTACTTTTATACCAGATGCAAAACAGGTCAAGAAAAGGACGACAAATTGAGGAGAGAATCATGCAATACAGTGTCATCGATTAAACATTCAATATACATCATTAACTGAAACTTAAGACCCCTAAAAAGTATTACTGAACTCAAAAGGCTACAATTCAAGAAAAGAAACAAATAAAAATCCTGCAGAAAGTCCACAGGACAAAATGAGCAGTCATACATATCAATTCTCTGAGGTCCTGAGTTCCCTCTTTTACCAAAGTAGACATGAGATTAGATGACACAGGTAAATGATGAGTGCTGTAGCAGGTATAATACATGTAATCCTACCTGAAATGTTCAGGCATAAATGTAAGTGTCACATAAAAATTATTAAACAAACAAACAGAAAGAAAACATAGAAAAGACAAACTCAATATCACAAACTGGACATGAACAGCGAAGCAGCACTAACTGAGATCCAACCTGATATTTGTCACCAGCATCTACAGCAGACGGAAAATAGATATTCAGTCAAGAGCCGACAATACAAACAACCTGACCTCTAAAAACATTAACAAGACTTTCACTCCAAATAAGCAAAGGAAGACAAAAAGTGGCTTCACTCATCTGTTTGAATGATTGGAGTTCATTCATTCAGCTTAAAAGCAGCTTGATCTTCGTTACTGACATACCCAGCATTCAAAAATCACTGGACAAAAATCACAGACGTTAAACAGCACGACACTCTCAACTCGAAACAAACTTAAATATACACCACTGGTTTCTGTCAGAATCTTTTGTTCAATGCATGTCTGGCACTATTCCATCCATTTGTCATGACAAATGTTTCATTCAGCTTCACTCGGCCCTTCAAACCTACACTTTTCCTTCTTCGTCTGAACAAACCGATCTCCCAGTTTAAGACTGGTGATGAGATCCTACAGGCAACTCATAACTCAATTTCAATTACAAAGCAATTTTGATGAAATGGCATATAGAACAGACTTTAAGAAATCACTGTTTTACGAATCATAGAACTGAAACTCCATGCCACATATCGACAGGATTCCCAAACAATCCTTACAGTAAATTCTCCAATCTTACAGCTGTTTGCAATGACTAAATATTTAGACTCGTCATACAGAGTGGCGCATGAATGGCTAAAATAATTCACCATAGGCTCCCTTAAGATTTGCACCAATGGTGGTTTTCCTGGTAGGACTAAAAGTGTTTGTGGTAAACAAATATAAAATTTAAGTTTGCTTTAAAAAAGAAAAAATACAAAAAAATGGATGCACCCATTTGAAAAACATGAATTTTGTACCTGTTGTGAGCATTGTATAAAAGTTGATTATAGTAAGTAACTTGATAAGAGCATACGGGGAGCAATTCATGTTGCAGAGGGAGAAAAAAAAAAAAAAAAAAAACATTTACTAACATAACTTAACATTTTAATGGTGAAGCTGATACTAAACTTCAATTAGGGATGCACCGACAGGATGCTTTTTTCCCACTGTGATAAAGTGTGGCAAATGAATTAATCTAGCTTTCTTCACACACGCATACATATTTTGCAAATTAACTTCAGCAACTTTCCCTCATCAATGCCATTAAGTACATGCTCTTATTTTGTCCAATTTCTTGCATCAAAATTTGTTGGTTTGGGTCATGGCTTATAACACTGTAATACTTCCAGAAGAGCTGCTCAAAAAGTGGCTAGGCATGAATATGAAAATGCTATACGCATCATTTTACACAACTCCATGTTCTTTATGGAGTTAACTCAGTTTACATGTTAACAGCTTTTTTTTGTTAATAAATCAAAAGTCGACTGATATGTCTGAGCTAGATT